CTTCATTCTTCTTTGCTCTGGATGAGGAGAGACCCATCATTGCATCTAGATGGCAGCTTGCAAGCTTTTAAGATCCCACTCGCTACTCACCAAAGTAGGAGGTGAAACAGTGTTTTGTGTAGTATGTTATGCCAACTGAGCTTGATGTCCCCTGTGATTATGGTCCTGAGCACACAGGTTCAACTACTCAGTTCCTCTTGGTAGCTGGCTGTGAACAAGCAGTGACTACAACCTTGCTCCTTGTCAACTCTACTATACACCTGGGAATTCAGATCATACACATAAACTTATAGGACCGTTGTCTGCCAACCCTATACATGTTCTTGGGTATACTCCCCGCTTCATAGACATACCTAATACTTCAGCCTGTCCACCCATCTATCTAAAAATACAACATTCTTAAGGTTATTATCTTGTAAGATATTTAAATATTGAATTGGGGGTTTCATTTGGGTTGAAAAACAAGCCCACTACTTTGTTATAAACACTGCTTATTTTATAGATGCCTTGTTAATCTGGTTTGGGAATTGGTAGAACTCTTATAGTAAATGATTGTTTGGGGTAGTTTATAAAGTGATTATAAAAGCTAGAGATTATTTATTTTTGAATCAAAGTTTTAAAGTAATTAGCTTTAGTAATTTAAACTTGAAAGAATTCAAAATCTTATTTTAAATATTAGGTTAAAAGTTATTTATATAATCTTTCACAAATGCTTTAGGATATTATTACAAGGAACTTTAAGGAACAATGAACATATTTTTGGGATTATGGATTTTTAATCCAACATGTGCATTATAAGTAGCATGGTATCTTGGAAATAATTTTCACATTTGATGATTTTGTTGTGCTAAAGGAAGGTTGGGCAATCCTACTTCCGTAGTGATACTGCCTCGGAAACCCAAGGAGGGGTCGCTATGAGTCGGGGCCGACTCGACGGCACATAACAACAACAACAACAACAGGTTTTTTTTTAACTTTTTACTGTGATTTGGGTGAAATTTTGCAAAGCGGATTCATTTTACATTCAGCAGTTCATATTCGTTTTGTTTTGTGACACTGATTACATTGTCCACAGTGTAACAGCTCTCCTCCTACTTCCTCCCTGTGGTTACTCTTTCCCTTGCCTATGCATTCCTGCCTCCCTACCTTTCTCCCTGTGCAAAGGTTGCCCTTTTGCTCTCCCATGGTTGATTGTTCTAAGGAGTGCATCTCCCTGATGTAGATGATCAGCTTGTAGGCCTGTCTACAGTTTGGCTCAGAGTTAAGCCACAGGAGTGAGTTCAATTCCAGGCCTGAAGAGTGACAAGGGGCCACATCTCAGGGGTGTCACCAATTTCTATCCAACCAGTAAACCTGATCTCTTTTATGTTTTAAATTTCATTCCACATTTTTCTCCAACTCTATCCAGGATTTCCAATTTTAATTCCTTTCCAAGTGGTTGGCATTGGTATCTTGGTACCATCTACTTGTTCTGCTCTCAGGATTATATATAGGCTGGGGTTCTCATGGTCCATTAGTCCTTTGGACTAACTGTTTCCATGTGTCTTTGATTTTCTTCACTATTCTTTGCTCCAGATTAGGAGATACTAATAGTTGCATCTTAGATGGCCACTCACAAGCTTTTACGACCCCAGTCACTACTCACTGAAGTAAGATGTAGAACAGTATTTTTGTGTACTATGTTGTCATCATTGAGCTTGAAGTCCCCCATGACCATGGTCCCCAGCCTGCATGCCCAGAGACTCACTCCCTCAAAGTGCTTAGTTGTGACTAAGAAGGTATCCTAAGTTTGCTCCCCCCCCCATTAGCTTCATGCTGCATATGGACATTTTTATAGCACATACAAATGTGTAAGCAGGAGTATTGTCTACCAAACCTATGTATGGTTATGGGTATATTCCCATTCGCCTATGCATACCTGATCTTCCTGATTGTCTACTTGTGTATCCACTATAGATTGGCATTTGCTATTACTGATAATGAAGTATTGTGCATGTCATAGTATTTATCTTTATTGTCTGTACCTCTTATGCACCTCTCTGTATCTTCCTTTTCCTTACTGACATTGTGCTAGTCACATACTTTTGTTATATTGCTTTTCTTTCTACCCTTATCAACACTTGTCTCTTAACAATCCATATTTTTTCCCTTCCTTCCCTGGTAACCAGCAAAGAAAAGTCCTTTCCTATGTAAACCTTTCTTTGACTTTTTATAATAATGGACTAATACAATATTACTCTTTCTATGATTGACTTATTTCACCCAGTATAATGTCCTCCAAATTCATCCATATTATGAGGTGATTCATTGATGTTTTTATCATTGAAGATTTTTATCAATTATAATACAATTTATTAAAATCTAAAATATGGGTTGCTTTGGGGGCAACAAAAATACATGCAAGGATTATAATGAGAATGTCAAAATAGAAATCTTTTTTAATATAGATAATCTCTTGACTCAAATTATTGAAAGACTTTGATGAAAACAATGTTTCTAGACCATTGTAGTTGGGATTCCAAGTTTACATGTTTTCTACATTAGTGTGCTTAGTAGGGTATGTTATGAGAGACAAATGTGGGCATCAGTTAATTTTGGAGTCTTCACCAAACACTAAGCATTATTAGGGATCAGGAACTCAGAGACATAGTTTCTGTCAGTATTTCCTGTGTGATTCTGGCTCTACTTTATTTTTTCTATTACTTTCCAGAACTGATGATGATAATACTTATTGTCGAGCAGCCACGGAGTATGCAAGAGCCTGTTCTCATGCTGGCTACCCTATTCAAGACTGGAGAGATGACTTTCCAGCTTGCAGTATGTTTTGTTGTTTTCCAAGTCCTGTGTTGTTGTTAGGTGCCATCTAGTCAGTTCCAACTCAGCAACCCTATGTACCATAGGACAAAACACTGCCGTTCCTGCACCTTCCTAAAGTCTTTGCTGTGTTTGAGCCCATTATTGCAGTCACTGTGTCAATGCATATAGCTGAGGGTCTTCCTTTTTCACTGTCCCTCCACTTTATGAAGAATGATGTCCTTCTCCAGGGACTGGCCCCTCCTGATAACATGTCCAAAGTACATGTGATGAAGTCCTGCCATCTTCACTTCAAGGAACATTCTGGCTGTACATCTTCCAAGAAAGATTTGTTTGTTCTTCTGTCAGTCCATGATATATTCAATATTCTTCACCAATACGTAATTCAAAGGCATCTATTCCTCTTTGGTCTTCCTTTTTCACATGTAAAGAATGTGACTCAAAATGCCATGGCTTGGGTTAGGCACTCCTTGGTCTTCACAGTGACATAAAGAACTGAGGGTATTGAAGGAAGAAGTTCACACTGCACTGAAGACATTAGTATAAACAAGCCTCCTCAAATACCAATTGAGCTGTTACAGCATATGAATGCACTCTGGAAGTGCTGACACATCTATGCCAATAAATTTGAAAGACAGCTACCTGGCCAACTGACCAGAAGAGATTGATTTTTGTGCCTGTTTCAAATAAAGATGATCCAACAGAAGGCAAAAATTCTCAAAAAATATTAATATCACATGCAAGCAAAATTTTGCTAAAAAACAATTAAAAAATTGTTGCAACAGTACATAGACTGGGAATTGCCAGAAATTCAAGCCATATTTGGAGGAGGATGTGGAATGAGGGATATCATTGCTGATGATGGATCTTGGCTGAAAGCAAAGAATATCAGAAAGATATTTACCTGTGTTTTATTGACTATTCAAAAGCAATCAACCGTGTGGATCATAATAGATTATAGATAACACTGTGAGGAATGGGAATTCCAGAACACTTCATTGTGCTCATTCAGAACCTGTGCATAGACAAAGAGGCTATCGTTCAAACAGAACAAGGGGATACTGAGTGGTTTAAAATGAGAAAAGGTGTGCATCAGGGTTGTATCCTTTCACCATACTTATTCAGTCTGTATGCTGAGCAAATAATCTAAGAAACTGGACTATATGAAGAAGAATGTGGCATCAAGATGGAGGAAGACTAGTTAACAGCTTGTGATATGCAGATGACACAATCTTGTTTGCTGAAAGTGAAGATGACTTGAAGCACTTAATGATGAAGATCAAAGACTTCAGTCTTCAGTATGGATTACACCTCAAAACAAAAATCCTCCAAAGTGGATCAATAAGCAACATGATGTTAGAGAACATATTGAAGTTGTCAAAGATTTCATTTTACTTGGATCCATAGGTGATGCCCATGAAAGCAGCTGTCCAGAAATCAAGCAATGTGTTACATTGGGCAAATGTGCTGCAAAAGACCTCTTTAAAGGGTTAAAAAGCAAAGCTGTCACTTTGAGGACTAAGTCCTGTGTACTTCTGTTACTTTTAGACTATCCTGGTACTGGAAACTTATCAGTACTCAAAATTAATGATTTGCAAATATTCGTTGTTGATGTAATAGTAAGTGATTTGTAAACTTGGATACTTTTTGAAATACGGTAATAATTTTTGAAAGAGAGGTGAATGAAGTTGACTTACTGTTCCCTTTTTTCTCATTTTAGCTGATAAATGTGATGATAGCTTTGTCCATCGGGATTGTATCAGTTGTTGCCCACCAACCTGCACATTTGAAAAGGAATGTCTTGGGAGCAATCTCCATTGTCTTGATGGTTGTTACTGTCCAGATGGTAAGTGCCTCATTTTTGCCTCATGCCGACTGTTACTCAGTGTTCTGAGATTAATCTCCGATGTCTTCCCCATGCCATTAGCATTGCTGCAATTTTTTACTCTTTTAGAATTTGACACTTGAAATGATAAGGAGCAATGTCTGTTTGTCTTTAATAAAAGGTTCATTTCCTTGTAGGTTTCCCAGAGAATTTGGAATCTAGAAACCTGAAAGTATATATGGCAAATATTTCATAATTTCTTTTCTTGCTTTTTCAAAGATGAAAGTATCCAGAGAAGGTCTTCACATTTTTCTAGCATAAGATTTTTAGCCCTGAATATAGTTTTATTATGCAAAAGGTCTTGCATGGATATTTTTTCCTTTTGTGATTATTTCACGTATTGTTTGCCCAAGCCATAATTGTTTTATACCCCCTCTGCTCTTAGTCATATTCTATCCATCTTCCAAGACTTAAATAAAGTTCTTCCTCTATTTTAAGACTTTTCCTAGGTACTCTGATTTTCTGAATTTCTCTAATATACATTTTCTGTACCATATTAATTAGTTCTCATTAAATGTTCTCTTAAATTTATCTTAAATTTTTCATGTTAACATAACTCCACAAATATTTATTGAGTAACTTCTACAGGCTTCTTATTATACTAGATGTAGGGGATGCAAAGATGAACAATTCCTGTGTTCTATATGTGAAGGGCATATTTCTTGAGATCAAGGATTGAAAGTGATAATATTGTGCACTGGATCTAAAGTAATGCTGAAGACTTAAGAAATTATTAACCAAGGTGAAAGTCTGAGAGATTAAGTCCTGAAATCATGAAATTTGTATTCATATCTTTATGAATGTAAATTTTCTGTATGATACCAAATCAGATGATATCCTTTATCTTACATTTTTTCCATAGTTAAAGTATGTTATAGTAAACATGATTTATGAAACACTTGAATGTCCTCTAGATAAATACTGTTTAAAATAAAAAAAATCAAGTAAATAACACTATTTCATCACATCTATATTGCTATTTATATCAACTTCAGATTAGCATCGCTGAGAAACAGAACTAATAATTGATGGCCAGCTGTTTTTCCCCTAAGTTATCTAATCTTTCAGTTATCATAAAACTGAGACTCAGATAGACAAAAACTACCATAGTAAGTGATAGAGGTGGATTTAAATTTTGGACTACCTCTGCTGTAATAATAGATATTTATATAGGCAATTGAGGATTTATTCCAACACTTGTTTTTACAGATTAAAAAAAAATAGAATACCAGATATAGTTGATGATTTTTCTAAGCTCATGTAGTTCGAACCCAGATCTATTGACCTTAGACCATTGTTCAGTCAGTGCTACTCAAAGTATGGTCTGTAGACCAGTGCCAGTTCTGAACTTGCATTACCAGTCAACAGTGAGATGAAAAGTTTGTATAAGAATGTAAGTCTATACTCCAAAATATAAACCAAGGCTCCTTCCTCTAGGAAGTCTTGTTATAAAAAAAGAAAAAGATCAGTTGAAGAAAACTATGTACTTTGTAACATGGTTGATTTAAGCTCTAGCCAATCTCTTATACTTGTTTCAGATAATGACAAATGCAGTTCACTGAAGTGACCCATTGAGCAGTGCTGTCTACCTCTTTATTATCTGTCTGACTATAGTGTAAGTCTGTCTCATCTCAGAATAAATGGAGATTTAAACAATGAAATATTCTCTCCTCCTTTTCCTCTCCTCTCAAAAGCAAGAAAATTTGTTAAGGTATCAGTTTGCTGAATGGTCAACTTTTAGTTTTTGATGGCATATTGTGGGATAAGGAAGTTGAAAACCACTGGAAATAGACTCTTAAATAAGGTACGACTGATTGAGACAGAGCTAGGTTGTGGGTAACCTTCCTGAAAGTAAAGAATTTATATCCTTATCACCTAGTGCAAGCAAGCATGTGTTCAACAAAACTTGAGTGTATTATTAATTTTAAAAAAATATAATCTTTATTATTTCTTTATAAAATTTGATTAATATTTTTCTTAAATAGGCCTCATAATGGACAATGGAACTTGCATCTCCCTGGAAAATTGCCCATGTATTTTTCATGGATTAGCTTATTCAGTTGGTTCAAAAATTGAACAAGAATGTACTGAATGGTATGTGATCAACGTACAGACAATTATTTCTGCTTACCTGACTAGCTGACACTTTAACATGACAAATGCTTAAAAGAGTATACTTATTATTGATTTTCTTCCAAAAACTTCAAGACATGATTTACATTTTATTTAGACTCCATGAAGCGGGGGGGGGGGGGGCATCTATATTTTCTAGTATGATGTAAGTCTTATTACTTCTTTGGTATTTCCATAAAATCTTATACCCGTGTAATGTGTCTGTTGCATTTTCTTATTATTTGTAATCACTAACTTGAAGATATATTTAGAATTTACTGGTGCTGCTGGGCCTCTCTACTGTACTTTAAAAAATTACTCTTTGTACCACTAATATTTGGCCATGAATAAAAACATTTAGAATTTATTAAATTAGCTAAAGTAAGACTATTGCAAAATATGATATACCTCCTGTAGAATTGCAAGAAGAAACTAAAATCTAAATGTCATCATTGATGTTATTACTCATTGTCAGTATGTATAAGTGAAGGGAGAGTGGATCACTAACCATGTTCTTAATGCTGATTTGAGTTCCTGACTTGCAGGTACTCTGTTTCTTTCCTCCAAATCTCAGGTCTACTTTGTGAGAGTGGAAGGGAGAATTTATCTTACATGAGAGGACATGTCTTTTCTCTCTTTTATGTCTTATGAGCCTCAAAATCAATTTTCTTAATTTGGACATTAGTAGGAGAGAAAACGTATTAATCTTCATACTCTAACTATATAGTCAAATACGTTTTTGTGTATAACTTATTTTTATTATTTATGTTTGTTGTTCTTGGGACTCTATGATACTCAACATACATCAATCCAACAATTTGTATGGGTACAGTTCAGTGACGCTGATTACAGTCTTTGAGTTGGGCAAATGTTCTCCTTCTTTTCCAAGTTGTTCCTTCTCTATAAACTCACTGCCCCCTAAGTTTCCTATCTAATCTTTTGAATCACTGTTGTAATTTTGATTGCATGTAGCTAGATCTTAAAAGAGCACATTATTCAAGGTAGAAATTTTTACTAGTCAAGCTAGACTACTGTTTTGTTTTAAGAACACTTCATGGGATATTTTTGGTTTAAAGTTTGAAGATTATCTCAGAGCAATAGTTTCAGAATTCATCCAGCCTCCATGGCTTAAGAATATCTATATCCTATGAAAATTTGAAATTATGGTCTGCATTATCCCCATTTTGTTCAGGATTATATGTGACTTTTTTTTTTTTTTTTAAAGTCTGATTGTTGAGAGAAGGGCATAAAAGAGAAATCCTTTGTTTACCTAACATTTTGTTCTTGGTGATTCTGTTCTCCTCTTGTATCATCTTTGGCAATGTTTAAGTGTGATATGTAATAGATAATAATTTCGGTAACAACCAACCAGTTATCCGTCTTTTGAGGTTTTGCAGAGATATTTTTCAAGTCAAGACAATCTTTACCAGTCCAAACTAATGAACCTGTGAACATGATATATTTTGATATATTAATCAACACACTGATGCAAACATTGACATAGTTTCTCAATACCAGTAGATTAACATTTTTAAAATTTCATTTAGTGTCTGTGTTGGTGGAATTTGGAACTGTACTGAACATGACTGTCCAGGTAATCATTTAAAATATATTTTTATGAGATATTTTCTTTAATGTAGAGGTGAATGTAGCATTATTTTTAATGAAGATACTTCATACTTATCAATAGATATAATGATGCATCAATGAAGGTTGTTCAAAGAATAAATGGAAAATTGAATAAATGGTAACTGAGCAGGCCAATTTGGTAAAAATTCATTTAAACAGTTCAAATACTACAAAGCTTAAAAATAGTGTGGAAGAGCTATCATTTAACAAATTATAAATTAATTTTAATAATATAATTTAATCTAGTAATTTTTCAAGCCAGTAAATTTTAGAATTTCTTTTTGATATATGATAATTTATTCTAAGATGATGTCCTACTTTTTAAGGAAGTAGGAATGTAATTTCTTCCTTCTTCTCTTCTTCCTTCTCAATCTATCTCTTCCTGCTTGCCCTCCCCACACACACACCTTTTTTTGTAGTTCAATGCTCTGTTGTGGGTGATTCTCATTTTACAACTTTTGATGGTCGGCATTATTCTTTCATTGGCATATGCCAGTATATCCTTCTGAAAGGCACTGGAAAAGACAGATTCACAATCACTTTACAGAAAGCTCCCTGTGAGCAGGTAAGGAAAATACCTTTCTTTAATCTCAAAGTGACTGGAGGTATCCACATTTTTTGGGGAGAGGCTCAAACTTTTTACCTAGATTAATAATAATAACATAAATGGCTATAGTTATTTTCTTTACAACTAAGATAGTATTGGTTGTTAAGATGTGCCATTGTTTTATATACTATAATGAAAAAAAATGCTGATGATTAATCTATGACACGTCATTGATTCTGCTATACCCTCATTTTTGTTAAAATGTGAAAACAAATATGTGTCATAGATTAGATGAACTACTGTATATTTAATTGCAGTTTTTTTTTCTAAGTGACATTTTCTATGTGTCATTTATGGACATTAAATGCATGATTGCATAATGGAGCTAAATTTTAATGTGATGATTTTTGACAGGATTGAACAGATTTCATATCATTCCAAACACATAGGATGATTTCTTATCATGCTGGAAAACTTATTTTAGGTTTTTTTCTTGAAATAAAAAGCACAGCAATAGTTTGTAAACAGAAAACTAAGATCTTTTATTCATTCATTTCTTTAAATCAGCTTGTCAAAATTTTGCCTAAATCTTTAATTTACTAGTTTTATTTTAAGATGTTATTTCTACTGGAAGTTCTGAAATATTTTCTTTCTGCTTGATTTTTTTCTTTGCAATATGTCAGAGTCTGAATTAATTTTCTACATAGAATCCTAATTCTCTTGGTTATTGTTATTGTATATTTTTATGTTTAATATACCAATTAAATAGACAAGTGAATGTGCTATGGAAAACATAATTATTGGAATTTTATTAGAAACTTTTAAAATTTATTTGTCTCTGTCTCCATCTCTCCCTCACTCCTTTAATTGGTAATTTGATTTTTATGCAGAACCTTGGCTTGGTATGCCTTCATTCCATAACTCTAATTCTGGAGGATGATTTTAGCAAACAAGTAACACTTAGTAGGGGAGGACAAATCCTGACTAGCCCTAATCAAGGCCTCAATCTGAATGGTAAGAAGCAAAACTGATACACTTTCTTTCCATGAACAATAAACACAAAACACTGAAAAAACTCACTGCTGTTGAGTTGGAAGGCAGTATCACTGCAGAAGTAGATTGCCCCATCTTCCCTCCAAAGAGTGACAGGGTCTTTTCCTATTGGTTGACTAATCCAACCTTTGTGGAGTTTCTATGCAAAACTAGATCCTCTGCTAGAGATAGTGGAGATATCATGTTTATAGAACCTAATATACACTTTGAATGGTACAGAGTTCAGAAGAGGAGAGAGACGAGCATCCAGCCACTTACAATCAAATATGATGAACTTGAAACTGTGCATAGGGATTTTGGAAGTCTAAATGGGGAGCAGCCCCACTAGCCTTGGGGAGGAATGTGCACCAGGTGTTTTCTAAAAGAGGTGATATCTCATTGGACATTTAAAACAGGAACTACCCAGATGAAGAAGGTGGGGTAAGTGTTCCATGAAGAGCAAGGAGGTATGAAAATGTGCAGTATGTTCAGGGGAAACTGTAACTAGTTTGGCACTGCTTTAGCATTAAGAGGATAATGGAGAGTATCAGAAGAGGAGATGAAGGAAGAAGCAGTGATGAGATTAGGGAAGGCCTTATGCATAGGCTGTGATACCTTGTGATTTTTCTGGGACAGGCCTGTGTTCCAGAATATTTGTAATAATACTGTCACTCTCAGAAATTTCCCAGTTTATATTACAAATTACACAATCCCCCTATTCAGATGTCATGCTAAGGAATTTGAACTTGATCATGCACGAAGCTGAACCATATGAAATTGCCATTATTTGGCCATTTTTTACGTAAAAGACCAAATTTAAAGAAGACTGACGTAGAACTTTTTTGTTAATAAAATTATGATAACAGTGCAACAGTGTGGAAGTAGATTTGAGAGATGATAGGAGATGTGGAGAACAGTTAGGATGTTATTAAAGTAGGACATGCAAAGAATGAGGAAGAACAGACCTTGGGTGGGGACAGTAAAGATGGACAAAAGAGGATAGATTGAAAGAATGTTTAGGAAAAAAAATTGACTTCAACTTAGTGATTGTTTGAATTGGGGTTACATGCAGTGAGGGTAGTGAGGGAGATGGAATGATCAGAGAATGATTCTCTGGTTACTGGCTTTGGTGACCAGGTTGATGATAGAGACTGTGACAAGGACACCAGACAGATGAACAACAACACTTTCTTTCTTTTTTTTAAAAGTAACACTTTATTAAGAGCTCTAGTGGCCTAGTGGCTAAGGCATAGGACTGCTAACCGGAAGGCTGGTGGCTCAAACTCATGAAGCACTTCCCAGAAGGAAGGTTGGGCAATCTACTGCCGTAGAGATATCACCTCAGAAACCCAAGGAGGGGTCGCTATGAGTCGAATCTGACTTGATGGCAGTGAGTTTTGTTTTGGAATACTTTATTATGATTTAGGTTGAAGTTTACAGAGCAAATTAGTTTTCTATTCAACAGTTTATACACAGCTTGCTTTATAACATTGGTTGCAATCCCCTCCATGTGCAAGCACACACCCAACTTCCTCCCTGGGTTTCTTGTTTCCATTTACCCATCTTTCCTGCTCCTACTTGCCTTCTGAACTTTAGTTTTGGGCAAATGGTACCATTTTGGTCTTGTATAGTTGATTGTCCTGAGGTGGATATTCCTTTTGAGTGTTACTGCTCACTTTATTAAAAAAAAAAAAAAAACAACTCACCACTGTGGAGTCAGATCCTACTCATAGTGGCACCTCCTTAAGTTTCCAAGACAGTATCACTACAGAAGTAGATCACCCAATCTTTCTTCTGAGGAGTGGCTGGTAGGTTTGAAGCACTAACCTTCTGGTTAGCAGTCAAATGCCTTAGACACTACCTGTCTATTGTTTGGCTATAATGTGATCTTCAGGAGTGGTTTTAGTTTGAAGTTTGAAGGGTGTTTAAGCACCATAGTCTCAGGGGTTCCTGCAGACTCTGTCAGACCAGTAAGTTAGGTCTTATTTATGAATTTGAATTTTGTTCTACATTTTTTTTTTCCAATTCTGTGCAGGACCTACTATTGTGATACTAGTCAGAACAGTCTATAATGGTAGTCAGGCATATAATTCTTCCGGTCTCAGGCTATGGAAGCTGTGGTTTATGTCCATTAGTCCTTTGGACTAACAGTTTCCTTGAGTCCTTGGTTTTCTTCATTCTTTGTGCTGCATGGGAAGAGATCAATTGTTATGTATGGGGAAGAACAACACTTCTGATGGCAAAAGTCATCAGTTTAGTTTTGAACAAAAGTCTCTCAAGGTGTCTCATAAAATGGTGTTGGTCAAGTGCTGTGTTTCCCTTTTTGCTAACAGTATCAAGAGAATGAGGAATTATTGACAAAAGTGCTAATTCATTTTGGAATCATGACCAGTTTTTTTGGAAAAATTATTTACACACACACACACACACACGTGCACACACGGATTTAAAGAAAGGAGATTTTTAATTGTCTATGGATAATGTCATGAGATACTTGTCAACTGAAATTGTATGTTGATCTTAGTCTATTCAAAATATAGGGAGCTCTGGTGGCATGCCTAAGGCATTTGACTACTAAACAGAAGGTTGGTAGTTCAAACCTATCAGCCACTCCTGGGAAGGAAGATTGGGCAATCTACTTTTGTAGAGATACTGCCTTGGAAACTGAAGGAGGGGTTGATAAGAGTCTCCTGAAAACTGAAAAGGGAGGAGGAGAGGAAGGAAAATGGATAAAAGGCAGCAGGCACAAAAAGGCAAAAAATGGGCCCTAGAGGCTGGGGCAGAAATAATGGGCTGCAATCCTGGTTCCCTTACTTCATGGGAGAAGTGTCTTGGGAGGAGAGTCTTGATGTTGTACTCTAGCATTTCTGAGTATTGCCTGTGAATCTCCAAACTGTCTTATGTATGTTCTTTTTCCTGTAGGAATTGTTGAAATTAAAACTCTGTCATCCTTATTTATTCTTCTAAAAACCACATTTGGTTTAAAGATCCTGTTTGCTATAGATGGGGAAAGAATTTATATCCAGCTCACTAGTGCATGGAAAAGAAGAACATTAGGTCTGTGTGGCACTTTTAATGGAAACATAAGGGATGATTTTCTGTAAGTATGATTTCTAGATAGCTAAAATGATTTAATGACTAGTAATTTAGAGGATATAAATTCTTTCATTTAAAAATGTTTACTTACCTAATGATAGCTTATCAGTCATTGTTCCAAAAACTTTACATGAATCATCATGTTTAAACTTTATAATAATCACCTGACTAGTATCTCTGCTTCACAGATAAGGAAACTAACCAGGGTTACAAAGTGACAAATCAACCACCCAAGGTTATGTAGTTAACAAATAGTGGAGCCACGTTTTCAACCAAGGCAGTGTGATTCAGAGCTTGTGTGTTCACCATGACCCTTCACTCTCTTGACACATATCAAGCTTAACATTATTTTATTTTTGAAAAGCCACTGCCTTTAGAAAAATCTCAATATTACTTAGTATTAATTGTGGTAAATAAAAAATAATGACATCCTTTGGTATTGATACCTCTAATGTGTAGCGTAGTGCCTAAGGCACTTGACTGCTAACCAAAAGGTTGGCGGTTCAAACCCACCAGTCACTCCGTGGAAGGAAGGTTGGGTAATCTACTTCTGTAGTGATTCCACTTCGGAAACCCAAGGAGGGGTTGCTATGAGTGGAGGTTGACTTGACGGCACATAACAACAACAACAACAACGTGACATTTTGGCCTCTAAGTTAATTGGGTTGTGTTATAGTTGGTCTTTCATTGGAAAGAAAGCAATAATGGAAGAACTATACTTTTCTACCACTTGTATTGATAAAACTCTTTTCACATACATGAAAAAGAAGCAGTGTATAATTGAATGTAAATGCTTTCAGCACCTGTTATTGTGCTAAGTACTGTGTGGCACTTCAAGCAGGAAAAGACATGGTTCCCATCCTCAAAGAGCTTATATTGCAGTTTGATCAATTGGGAGGGGTAACAACCTTTAAGAAACAATAGCTGTTAAGAAAAGCATTAATCCACTGTGTGTGTGTGTGTGTGTATGAAGCTCTGGTGATGTACTGGTTGAGGCATGTGGCTGCTAGCCAAAAGATCAGTGTCTGAAACCACCAGGTGCTCTGTGGAAGAAGATGAGGCAATCTGCTTCAGTATGTAAAGATTTATAGCTGTGGAAACCCAATGGAGATCACCAAGAGTCAGAATCAATTCTATGGCAGTGAATTTGGCTTGAGTGCATATATACAGATACACATGTAATTTAAAAATTAAGCATTAAACTGTGACTATAAATACAGCAGGAATTTAGAGCAGGTAAAAATCAGTGTGTACTCGGGTAACCAGGGTACATTTATGGAGAAGATATTCTCCAAATACTGTGCTTTCTTAAAAACAACAACAACAAGTGTGTGTGTGTGTGTACATATATCTCCACCACTCATCTGTCAGTTTGTCATTCTGTGGTGGCTTGCATGTTGCTGTGAGGCTGGAGGCTATGCTACCAGTATTTCAAATACCAGCAGGGTCACCCATGGTGGACAGGTTTCAGTGGAGCTTTGAGACTAAGACAGACTCAGAAGAAGGAAGGGGCCATCACTCTCAAAGAATTGGCCAGTGAAGCCCTTATGAATAGCAGTGAAACACTGTTTGTTGTGTTACTAGAAAACTTTATGAATAGCCCTGAAACTTTTTCTGATGTAGTGCCAGAAGATGAGACCCTCAAGTCAGAAGGCACTCAAGGTATGAATGGGGAAGAGCTTCTTTCTCAAAGTAGAGTTGACCTTAACGATGTGGAAGGAGTGTTTTCCGGACCTCAATTTTTTTTTTTTTTTTAATTGTGCTCTAGGTGTAAATTTATAGAGCAGAATTTGTTTTACATTGAACATTTTGGGTAGATTTGGTTTCACTCCCCAGTTACCACTTTCTTCCCCTCCCTTCCCAGTACTCCCCACCCCCCCCACGCACTTCTTAGTTATGCACTCCTGTCTGTCCAGTTTTTCCTCCATGTGACTATTGCTCCTCTGGTGCCCGATGGCCGATTGCTCCAAGGGATGTATCTCTGTAGGGTAGGTGGGTACATCACCCTGGGTTGAGTGTTCTGCATGTCTTATTTACTCTTGGGCTGAGAGCCAGCCCTTGAGAGTGAGTTTTATCCCAGGCCCCATGTATATCCCAGGGCTATAGTCTTGGTGGTTCCACCAGATTCCATCCAACCAGTAATTCAGTCATTATTGTGTTTTTGGATTTTGTTCCATGTTTTTCCTCCCACTATATCCAGGATCTCCAGTTTTAATCCCTTCCTGAGTGGTTGGCATTCATAGCTGGGCACCATCTAGTTCTTCTGGTCTCAAGGTCCATCGTGTCCTAGGGCTGACTGTTTCCAAATGCCTTGGTTTTCTTCACTCTTCTTTGCTTCCGACAATAAGGGACCATTAGCTGCATCTTATGTGGCCGCTCGAAAGTGTTTAAGACCTTAGTCACTACTTAGCAAAGCAGGTTGTAGAACAAGATTTTTATGTATTTTGTTGTTCCAATTGAGTCTGGTGTCCCCTAAAACTATGGTCTTGAGTAGGCAGATTGGTGGATCTCTCTCCCATAGTGTCTGGCTGTCTATGAGAGATTGCTCTTGCAATAATGAACTAATACTATATTTGTCCTTCTGTGTGTCCTTATTTCACTCAACCTAATGTCCTCCAAGTTCATCCATGCTATGCAGTGTTTTGCAGATTCTACATTATTCTTTAGGATTGCACAATATTCCATTGTGCATATGTGGCATAGTTTGGTTATCCATTCTTCTGTTGATGGACACCTCAGTTGTTTCCTTCTTTTGGCTACTGCAAATAGTGCTGTGATAAACATGGGTATGCATTTATCTGTTCTTGTCCTGGCTGTCACTTCTTTAGGATATATACCTAATAATGGAATGGCTGGGTCCAATGGTATTTCTAATTCCAACTTTTTAAGGAATTGCTATACAGCTTTCCACAGTGGTTTTATCATCTGACGTTCCCATCAGCAGTGTATGAGAGTCCCAATTTATCCACACCCTCGCCAGCATTTGTTATTTTCTGTCTTGTTGAACTTTGCTATTAGTGTTGGGGTGAGATGGTATCTCATTGTTGTTTTGATTTGCATCTCTCTGATGGCTAATGATTGTGAGCATTTCTTCATGTATTTGTGGTCTGCCTGAATATCCTCTTTGGTGAAGTGTCTATTCATGTTTTCTACCCATTTTTTAATTGGATTTTTAAGCTTTTTGGTGTTGAAGTGTTGGAGTTTTCTATAAATTTTAGAGATAAGTCCCTTGTCAGATATGTTGTTGCAGAATATCTTTTCCCAATCTGTATGTTCTTTTTTTACTCTTTTGGCAGTATAATTATCAACAAGTATGATTTTGTTGCTGTCATTTTGTTATGTGCTTTTTTGTGGTGTTGCTGATTTCTTAGTTCTGCATAATTTTTTGTGCTGAACTCATTTTATGAATCATGTTATCACTTCCTTCATTGTTATTGTTTTAGTATTTGCTAAATATTTGTGCTGGTCTTCTTTTTTAGTTTGATGTGAAGGTTTATCATTTTTCTTTGAGGTTACTCTGTGGTTTATAATTTTCTTCCCAAGTTTAGAACAGTCAGTTCTATCTTGCAGTTGTTTCGACTTCCCTACCATCAAATGGTATTTCTATTTTCAGTATTTTAAAGAAACACAGTATCATTTGCCACAATGGTTGTACCATTTTACGGTCCCACTAGCAGTGTATGAGAGTTCCAATCTCTCCACAGCCTTGCCAGCATTTGTTATTTTCTGTCCTGTTGAACTTTGCTATTATTGCTTGGGTGAGGTGATGTCTCATTGTTGTTTTGATTTGTATCTTTCTAATAGCTAATGGGGAGCTCTGATAGCATAGTGGCTAAGGCACTTGACTGCTAACCAGAAGGCTGGCGGTTCAAATCCACCAGCCACTCTTCAGAAGGAAGATGGGGCAATCTACTTCCGTAGTGATACTGCCTTGGAAACCCAAGGAGGGGTTGCTATGAGTCGGGTCCAACTCGACGGCACATAACAACAACAACAACAATAGCTAATGACTGTGAACAATTTCTCATGTATTTGTTGACCACCACCATATCATCTTTAGTGAAGTGTCTGTTCATATCCCTTGCCCATTTTTGAATTGGATTGTTGGTTTTTTTTGATGTTGAGATATTGAAGATTTTATAGGTTTGAAGATAAGTCCTTTGTCAGATATGTCATAGGCAAATAGTTTCTCCAAATCTGTACTTTCATTTTTACACTTTTGATGAAGTCTTTCAATGTGTATAAGAATTTAATTTTTAAAATGAGACCTCCCTTTCTTATGTGGCACAATTCAAAATGGGAAGAAACAGCTGCAAACATCTTTAATAATCAGAACATGGAATGTACCAAGTATAAATCTAGGAAAATTAGAAGTTATCAAAAATGAAATAGAATGCATAAAGATTGATATCCTAGGCATTAGTGAGTTGAAATGCCTGATTTTGGCCATTTTGAATCAGAAAACCAAATCATCTATTATGCTGGAAATAACAAATTGAAGAGGAATGGTGTGGCATTCATCATCACAAAGAATGTCTCAAGTACAATGCTGTCAGTGATAGGATAATACCCATAGGCCTCGATGGCAGTCAGTTAGTCAGTACATGGAAGGCCAGTTAATACTACTATTATTCAAATTTATGCAACCACCAAAGCCAAAGGTGAGGAAATTGAAGATTTTTACCAACTTCTACAGTCTGAAATTGACCAAAAATGCATTCAAGTTGTGTTGATTATTACTGGTGATTGGAAGGCAAAAGTCAGAAACAAAGAAAAATCATCAGTAGTTGGAAAATATGGCCTTGGTGATAGAAATGACACTGGATATTGCATGATAGAATTTTGAAAAGCCAATAATTTATTCATTGCAAATACCTTTTACAACAACATAAATGGTGGCTATACATGTGGACTTTGCCAGATGGAGTACACAGAAGTCTGATTGATTCCATCTGTGGAAAGAGGCAATGGAGTAGCTCAGTATCTTCAGCCAAAACAAAGCTG